TATTTTGGACAACGTGGTTTCCTACTTGCCGAATTCATTCCCAAACATTTTTTGGTGCCTCCTGTGAGGATCGATCGCAAATATACTGCGATATGGCGAGTTTAAATCTGCGTGCATCTGCACAATCATCAATTGTTCGTCTTGGGAAAATTACCGAGGCGGCCAACTTTGATCCAGATCCCATAGAGTGCGAGGTTATGCTGGCGCAAGTGAACAAACATTTTGAAAGGTTTGCAGAGTATCACGCGGATCTAGTATCTCTTGCACAGGCCAGCGAATTGGAAGCCCGCGGCGGTAAAGGCAATTCAGAGCCCAAGCCTCCTGTGACCAGTCAACAGGATATGCGGTTAGATCCAATTAAAATTCCAGTCTTTGATGGTGATCCGGCGAATTGGTTGTCTTTCAAAGACCTGTTTGAATCACTGGTCCACAACCGCACTGACTTAGATTCCAGCTACAAGCTGAGTAAATTGCGTCAACATGTCAATGTAGATAACGTGCCATTGGTTGGAGGCCTATACACCGGTGGCTACGAGGACATGTGGAAGGAAATGAAACGTAGGTATGACAATAAGCGTTTGTTAGTTGAGTCGCAGGTTAACCGCCTCCTGGATTTGCCGAATCACCCGACGGAATCGCAGAAGACCCTTCTTCGAGTTGTCGACACCGTACAAAACGCTATGCGAGCGCTAGCTGTAATATATCTTCCAGTAACTCAATGGGATGCACTCACAGTGCCACTTCTGCTGCCCAAGCTACCAACTACCACGCGGTATGAGTGGGGCATGAGTCTCCAGACTAACAACATTCCCAATTTGCATGACTTCATAACATTCATTGAGAAGCGCGCAAACAATTTGCTTCAGGCGGCTTCTAATGTAGCAACGACGCATCGACAACCAGCAACATGGTCTGTCAAGGCACATGTAGCAGCCGTTAATTCATATCTATCTTCCCGTTCAAGGAAGGCGGCCAGTATTTCTTGCCCATTGTGCGCAAGTTCACATCGCCTTCACAAGTGTCAGCGGTTCCTCAACCTTCCGGTAACAGAGCGCTGGGACACCGTGAAGCGGCTCTCACTGTGCTTCAATTGCCTCAGCGTCGACCATGGGGCGCGAGATTGCCCGTCGCGGGATTGTACACGCTGCCATCACCGGCACCACACACTTCTCTGCAGAGAAGACGATACAGTCAGTGCACCAGCAGCCGAAGTAACGAACACATCAGTAGTGCCGACTCGTAACTCTAAGCCAGGTATATCTGTAGAGCACACGCCGCAGGTATACTCACGACAACAATAACAGTCAGAGCCGGTTCGGTCTTTTCTAGTCCACGGTGACCGGACCGTTTTACTAGCCACAGCAAAGGTTCGTCTTGTGGATCATAATGGACAACAACACACTTGTCGTGCCCTCTGTGATATGGGTTCCCAGGTGAGCTTAATCACTGATTCTTTAACTAAACGTATGGGTCTCCGTAGAAAACCAGATGAGGTCCGAATCGAAGGCATCGGTTCCAGCACCGCGGTTTATACCAGAGGCAATGTGACTGTTAAGATGCAACCTACAATTGACAGCAACACTGAGTTCAGACTGGAGGCGTATGTTGTGCCGATGATAACCTCAACTACACCAAGCGCAACGATCGATCCGGCAGCCTGGACTCATTTGAAGGATTTGCCGCTGGCGGACCCAACGTTTGGTAGCCCGGGTCGGGTGGATTTGCTTCTCGGTGCTGAGGTGCTTAAGGATCTCTTTCTGGAAGGCTTAATTCGGGGATCTGCAGAACAGCCTTGCGCCTTGAATACACGGCTTGGTTGGGTAGTGTTTGGGCCAGCTCATGGTAGTTCAACACAATCCGTACAGCTCACATCGCATGCTGTCAAACGCGTCAACGAACAACGACTCGACAAACTACTTCGAAGCTTCTGGGAACTCGAAGAGCCAGCTGTGGTATCAGAAACTCGGGAAGATGATTGTGAAAGGGTATTCACCAACACCTTTACACGCGCAACGGATGGCCGGTATCAGGTGCAGATCATATTTAAACCAGATGCACCCTCCATTGGTGATTCCTACCAATCTGCATTACGTCAGTTTCTACAACTGGAACGGAGATTAGCGAACGACGCTGAACTACGCGAGCAATATACGGCTTTCATGAGGGAGTACATAGCTCTTGGCCATATGGAGGTAAGCCAGGAGTTAATTACGGACGCTCATCCTGGTTACTTTATTCCCCATCATGCTGTTACTGCCAAATTTCGGGTTGTGTTTAATGCCTCTGCAAAGACCTCGAATGGCGTATCACTGAACGACGTGCAATTCTCGGGCCCACAGCTACACCCAAACTTGGTCGACATTCTTCACCGTTTTCGCAAATTCAGCGTAGCCATCACTGCAGACGTGAAGAAGATGTTCCGTCAAGTCTTGGTCGACCAACGTCATATAAAATGGCAAAAAATTCTTTGGCGTGAAGCTTCCGACGTTCCTCTACAAATATACGAATTGACAACGGTGACGTATGGAATGGCTTGTAGTCCATTCAATGCGGTACGAGCGCTGCGTCAATGTGCGCAGGATAATTGTAAGGCCATCAGTGAACCCAGCCGGGCTGCCGCAGCGCAACATAGCATCCTTTATAATTTTTACGTAGACGACTATCTGGACAGTGTCGATACGTCCGAACTAGCAATCACGCGGGCACAAGATGTGGAGACCATCTTGAAGCAAGGTCAATTTGTGTTGGGGAAATGGAACTCCAACTGCTCACACACGCTTGCTACCATCACTGGTTCGACAATGTCTGCATCCGAGCTGGAGTTGAACTATTCAGCGACGAAGGTACTCGGTTTGCATTGGGATCCGTTGCATGACGAGCTCTTCTTCACGGTACGGGGGTTCGACGAGTCAGCGATGCCTACCAAACGGACAGTGCTTAGCGACGTAGCTAGATTGTATGATCCGACTGGCTTATTGGCACCGGTTGTCATTGTGGCAAAACTCTTTATCCAGGATCTGTGGAAGGCGGGATTGCAGTGGGATTCGGCACTGCCACCGGACCTGCTCAATGCTTGGTTAATATTCCGCAACGGGTTAGCGGACATTTCACGACTTCGGATTCCACGTTGGCTAGGCATGCGTGCCGATTCGATGGTGAGGCTCCATGGTTTCTGTGATGCTAGTCGTAAGGCATATGCAGCTGCGGTGTATGTCCAGACGGTGGATCACAATGGTAATTCAGGTGCAGTTCTGGTAGCTGCAAAGACGAAGGTCGCTCCGGTCAAGGAAGCGACCATACCACGCCTTGAGTTATGAGGTGCCCACCTACTTACAATCACTATGAACCACGTCCGCCAGGCTCTTGATCTACAAGATGTCCCTTGCATATATTGGTGCGATTCAACTGTTGTATTATGCTGGATCCGCAAGGCACCTTCAGCTTTCAAACAGTACGTTTCGAATCGAGTCGCTTTCATCCAGGCCAATTCGGATGTAAATTCCTGGAACCACATCCGATCGGAGCTTAATCCGGCGGATTGCGCAAGCAGGGGCTTGTCGCCATCTGGTCTAGAAAGTCATCGACTTTGATGGGCCGGACCGACATGCATCCATCAACACACAACCGTAGGATCGGAACCAGTTACGATGACGGAGGAAGATCAGCACATTTTTAGATCCGAATCTCGCCCTTTGTATACGCTAGTATCTCGTGTTGACTGCCAGTGGCTCATGACATCAGGTGACGGTAATCGTGTACCTCTCATAGAGAGGTTTAGCACGTTGGGGCGTCTTCTCAACACCACGGCGCGTCTTAGACGCATACTACCGTTATTTCGAGGCAACAGAGGGGTTGTGGTCTCCGCCGAAGAGCAGAACTGGGCGCTGGTCTTACACATTCGTCAGGCACAAGGTAATACTTTCAAACAGGAAATTAAAGCACTTGTATCTAATTCCAGAATTGAGGGTCGCAGTCCACTTCGACCCCTAAACCCGTTTCTGGATGAAAATGGAATATTGAGGGTTGGCGGCCGACTAACCAACGCTGACATGAGTAACGATCAGCGACACCAAATCATAGTCCCACGCGGCACTCTAGCAGATTTGATGGTCGCAGATGCACATCAGCGCTGCCTTCATGGTGGCATACAGCAGATGCTCCAGTTTCTCCGACAACGTTTTTGGCTCATATGTGCGCGGGCCCAGGTAAAATCTTACATCTGGAGGTGCACCGTATGTCGAAGACATCTGCAAATTATGCAGCGTCAACAGATGGCGTCGTTACCAAAGGAACGTGTCCTTGTTGCACCACCATTTTACCGCAGTGGCTTGGATTACTGCGGCCCCTTCCATGTTCGAGTTGGCAGCAAGCGCTCAGCAGTTACGACAAAAACCTATGCAGCCATTTTCGTTTGTATGGCATCGCGTGCAGTTCATATTGAGCTGGCAGAAGACTTGAGTACACAAGCATTTATAAACGTGTACGACCGCTTCGTGAGTCGACGAGGCATCTGCGCTACCTTATACAGCGATAATGGTACTCAGTTTATTTGTGCGAATCGACAAATGCAGGAGGATTTACAGGCATGGGTGAACGTGTTTGCACAACAACACCTGGTGGCTGTGGGAACCCACTGGAAGTTTATTACACCATCGTCACCTCATCACGGTGGCCTTTGGGAAGCAGCGGTGCGTTCTGCCAAAAAGCATCTATTGCGAGTCATGGGTCGTCAAACAATGCGCTTCCCCGAGCTCTACACTCTTTTGACGCGTATAGAAGCCTGCCTCAACTCACGGCCATTGCTGGCTTTATACGATGACCCAGAAGGTGGTGTAGCGCTCACTCCGGGTGATTTCATTATTGGCCGCCCGTTGAATTGTCGTCCGGAACCTCCATTACCAGAAGTTCCAGAAAATCGGTTGCATTATTGGCAACGTCTTCAACGAATGCTGGAGCACTTTTGGCGTCGCTGGCAAAGCGAATACATAAATACCCTTCAGTCTCGCAGTAAATGGACTAGACCGGAGCCAAACATACAGCGCGACGACGTCGTTCTCATACGGAATGAGAATCTCCCCCCTACATTTTGGCGCATAGGAAGGGTCATTGACGTGCATCCGGGCAGTGATGGTTTGGTTCGCGGACTTTTTACCAAACACCGATGTCAGCGGCCGGTACAGAAATTATGCCGACTAACAGGCCCATCTGAAGAATTACTGAACCGCACGGGTTCAGCCGGGCAGGATGTTCAAGAGTTACAGTAAGGTATTGGCCAAAGGCAACGTTGGGCATCGTTAGTACAGGAACATACCTACATTCAGCTCTGCTCATCAACACCCGCTGAATGCACCAATACAACCAACATTAGTTCATTTTTGCAATGTCATCGCTTAACATCCATATTATGCGTATTATTATTGTTCTCGCTCTAGCGTTAGACGTTGTTATAGCTGATGTACTTAAGAGTAGAACACATATGTATGTATTTTGCTCATATACTTCTGTATGTATATAAATAGTATCTGGTGATCATAGGGTAGAATATTCAAGAACGTGAATCAATAAACAAGTGAAAGACACTTACTCGTTTTTATTTTGGACAACGTGGTTTCCTACTTGCCGAATTCATTCCCAAACAAACACAAATATCAATATATTCGCAAAATCATGTGCTAAATATAGTAAAATTGCGTTTTTAGCTTTTCACTCTGACGCACTCGCAATATTTGAATGGTCGCCGCGAATAACGTTGTAAGCGCCAATTTACTCAAGCACTAGTTTTTTCGCAGATTAGCGTTAAAAATAGTCTCGCGTATCATAAGATCGCGAAATTTCTAAATTTCCATTAGTTTTCGGACATTCCAAAGTAAGTAGTGAGTGGCAAAACGTTTTAAGTGCAGGTGACCATGGCCAACTTAGAATTAACAAGCGTAATGCAAAAGTGCAATAATGGTAAAAACTGTAAAGTACATTTCGAAAATTGGAATGATATAAAAAATGAGAGGCTAATAAATAGTGGGGAAGAATATTCAGGAAGAAATGGGAAAAGGGGTATTAAAAAAAATTATCAGAAATGGTAATGTGGAAAAACGTTGTAAGTGAAGGAGCTGTGTTAATATCAATTTTGGTTTTTTATTCCCCAAATTTTCAACTGAGCTTGTTCTCTTCACTGCTCAAGTTTCATATTGGAGACTATTCAAAAGCATTTCTCCAATTTTTATAAAATGACCTATGATGAACAATCAAAGAAACCATATTGTTATATTTATTACATTCATTTGTCGAAAAAGGTTGTAAGCGCCAGCAGCAAAGATGCTAGGTTTACTGGAAAAGCGTGATATCATCATCCATTGGCATTTTGATATAAAACGTTTTTCCATCATTAAAATTTTGTAAATCTTTTTTTGACTTGATATATATGGATATACATTTGAATTCACGGGCAAGTTCCTTGGAGACTGCTGCACCGAAAAATGGAAAACTAAATCAAATGACTTACAACGTTATTCGCGGCGATCATTCATTTTTTTTTGAAAAAATTATATATTAAGGGCTTATATAAACTCGATAACATCCTCGAATTCGTTCTTCTAACTTTGTCAGCTTAAAAATTACATATTCGTCCTTGTGAATCCAAAAAATTTAAATTTTTTAACATCTAAAGAAATTTCCTATTGCATTTGTTTGTTGTACCCATTAATATCGCAATAAAAAGACTCGATATTCCAAATATCGATACAAAACTCAAAAAATTGAATGTGAATATTGGTCTCATTTTCTATTAAAAAATTAACACTTTGCACTTTAGTAAGTGCTTCACTGAAGGCGCGCCACATTCCAACCTAAGATAGTGCACATTTCTGCGGTTTAAAGCGCAAAATATATCCATATTGCTTTACATATAAATTCCGAAGTAAGTAAGGTTATAGTACGACATAGATTTGCAAGATATGGAACCCTAGCTAAGGCTAAAATTCATGAAGCGCACATTCCAACCGAAAATAGTGCGAATTTCTGCGGTTTAAAGCGCAAAATATATCCATATTGCTTCACATATAAATTTCAAAGTAAGTAAGATTATAGTACGACATAGATTTGAAAGAGATGGAACCCTAGCTAAGGCTAAAATTCATGAAGCGCAAGTCCGGCAACGCCACGTTTCACAAACAGCTGTTTACTAGGGTTATGATGTTTTTAGATTAAAAAGCTTAACCCGGATTTAAAACACTGGAAAAGTTATGTGGAATCGTTGAAATATAAAATAAATTGAAATAGAATAAACTGAAAATATATTATAACCAATTTAAATATAATATGGTTCATTGCCTGGTACCAACGACTTTTGCAAATTCAAAAGGAGGCCGAAAAAGTCACAACCCTACTGTTTAGTTTCTCGCCAGTGCATTTCCACTTTTTTAAGGCAATTTATTTCATAAATTTGAGAACTATGCATAAACGGGACCATTTTTAAATTCATGAAATGAAGAATTCATGAATTCTGTCGCATAAACGTAGTAAAATTAATGTAATACCATGTTCTGACCGACATCGAAAACATGGTTTCGTTGCTAAAACTGGTTTTCGACCTAAAACTTGTGTTTTCGTCAATGTAAAATCTGTCAAACGAAAACCAGTTTTCGCTGAAAACCACTTGAAAACTCACGTTCCACTCACTCCAATCGGTGTCTGCACTAGTTTTTTTCGATTATTCATCGAAGTGGAATTCATATTTTATCATCTTTAATACGCCATTTCGGATTTATTGTTAATTGGCTGACCAAAATAAAAGAAGCATGGAAGTAAAAGGTTGTTTACGAAAAGAAATTGAAGGAAAAGTATTTTGGTATTGGATTTGTGCAGCAAAACTGTAAACAAAGGATGCACGAAATGTCAACGAAAACACCAACAGTCGGTGTGAACAGCCTTCAGCCCACAATCCCAAAACTCCTTTTCAAGGTGTTTTCGTTGTCGGTCAGAACATGGTATAATGAACATTTACGATTCGATACGATACAAGGGTTCTGGTACTCGATTCCAAAAAATATCGTTTGAAAACTATCGAGCAAAAAGTATCGGTATCGAATGGCAAAAATATCGACATGGTATCATATCGTATCGAAATTCGTGTCCCTATTTGTTACCCGTATTTTTAATGCATTTACATAAATACGCTGCGATTAGGTTAGCCAAAATACCTACACCTATAGTGGGCATTTCATATCACACATTATATTACCCATGGTACAATAAAAACAGGTAGAAGCCAATTTGACGTGAAACCTACAAAAGTTAAAGTTTTCGGGAGAGTAAAAATAAAAATGAGCGTGTCAAAGGAAAAATAAAAAAATACATTTCACTGGTTGACGTTTTTGACGTAGAATACGTCTTACCTTACGATATGGAGGCTATGCTGAAATGTTGTAATTGTAATTTTTAGAGCCTCACGAAAACGCTTATTGCACGAGAACTAATGAAGCGATTTCAAAGAAAGGTGTGGCGTTTCAATGATAAAATTCCAAAACTAACGACAGATTCATTTTTGTAAATAACTAATTCGGTTTCCGTCGTAAAAATAACGGTAAACATTGCCTTATTTTGGGGTCAATTTTGAGCCTTTAAAGTGCTCTAGCAACTTATGGTTAGCAGATATAACTTTCATTTTCGGGATATAGGTTCTTTGGAGCAGTAGAAATATTATCGTGTACAAATTTTATATAAATTCAACAAACATTGAGCATTTTAAGGCTAAAAATTGTTGAAAAAATTTGCAAATTTTTTTCATTACCAAAATGCTCGAAAACTGCTCGAATTATTTTATTTTTGCTTTCTTTAATCGAAAATTCAAGAGTTTTCCTTTCGTTTGGTATATGGGAAGTATTGGTTGATATCTTCTAAGTATGTTTATTTGACTCAAATATATGGGCATAAATGATTTCCCATACAAAATCACTTCGTCTTCATTTTGCAAACACGTGCATGCATTGAAAGTGTGGGAATGGGACAGAAAGTATGTATGGGTGCGTAAGTACACATTTCGGCTTTTGATCATATATGTAATACTCCCAAGAATGATAGAATACAAGATTGCGCCAATGAGAGAGGATTTTTGAGCGTAATTTTTGCGTGACGTCATCTTGGTGCAATTGCGAGAGAGAAATGCCAAAACGCATATAAAAATATGTAAACAATGCAGAAAAATGTGTTAATTTTAATATTACATGGCCCAATTTTGCATGAATCAATAAATATACAAAGATTGATTAATTAGGAACACGTAGCAATAATTTTGGACATGTAGCCCTTTAGATAAGTACGATTTTTAGCACATGAAAAAATGGATGTATGAACAGTGTTTGCAATTTCATGTAGACCAAAAGGAAGGTGTGCAGCAAAGTGAATCTTTGGACTTGCCATTTTAAAAAGCCATGCAGAGTGCATATTTATATTTGTGGACGGTAGCCAACCACCATAAACGACACAGCTGTTGACTCCGCAGCTTTTATTTGTGTGACTTTTTTGGAAGCAAATATTCTATGTCAGTAAAACATAATTTAAGCTGAACTTTTAAATGTATAATAATTTGGCCACTGTTTTGTATTAGGTACGTAACAGCGCGGTAAGATGCCGCTTGAATTAACGCCTGGCGACCTTATCCACTGGTGCATTACCTCATACCAGCACTAAAAGAATCAGGTACTAACAAAAATAAGTAGGTAGTGAAGTTCATGTATCTATTTACTGTAGAAACTACTTTTGTATGTATGCCATTGCCAGCAAACTAAACCAGCAACTGTCTACATTCACCGTGGAAATATACCTACTACAATTCACCAAGGAAAGGCCAACATAGTTCCATGTAGTAGCTCATAGCTCACACACATAGCACAAAGCTGGATTTGGTATTAAATGCATGTCCTCCCCGGCAGAACTGCTTCCACTTTTTCGCCAGGTTTGCGTCCGTAGGAAACGAAAAAATAACTTATATAGCATGCTTTCCTTTTGTTTTCACTATTACACTTTGCCACTGCACACTTCGTTTTGCCTTTTAAGGTGTCAATAATTGTTTAAAACCACGCAGAAATATTAACGCACAAATATTAGAATTGTTATTTGGTGTTTTTCGTATGCTCACATTCAACAATTGCACCAAGATGACGTCACGCACACAGCTCATTCTGTCAAAATCACAAGGAGCGGATTAGCGGTACCGCGATTGGCGCAATCGCTATTTCTCTCAATCGTGTAATACTCCTATATTGGCAGT